AATATGTAGGTCCATCACATTATCATGAGAATCATCAAAAAATAATTTCATCTTTTATAGAAGTGCTTGTCAAAAAACTAATTATTAAGACCATCAATAATTACCTCAGTAAATGACAATTCACAGAGTAATATAATGGCAAAGAGGTGAGGAAAGTCCCCTTCCACTAATAATAAAATAAAAGTAATAATAATAATAGTAGTAGTAATAAAGCTAATATTTAATACTGGCAAAGGTATGGCAAGAAGCATGTTGAAAAAACACAAGTATGAAAATAATTATTACAAGTTTTCTAAAAAATTAGCCTGTAAAAAGTTTAGATATGCATTATCCCATAATTACACTTAAAATAACCTATCCTAAGAAAACAATATGGAAGAAGGCAAATAAGTATGCACAAAGGTTCCAATTGCAACATTATTGACAATAGTACAGAGCAAGCAGAATCCAAGTGCCAGTGGTACAATGGTTACCTCATTTCTACTGTTATTCCCCAGTAACCCACTTTCCCACCTGTGTCCCATCCATATCACTCTTCAGGTTGCAATTTCTCAAACACCATGTTCCTTGCTTTGGTGACATGTATCACAACTTATAACTGTGTATTTCTTTCTGTGCTTGTTTTTACTGTCGAGTTCACCCATTAGACCAGCAGCTGCATGAAGGCAGGAGCTCTGTTTTGTTCACTGCTGCCATCCTCTGTGATAGCTGCTGGCACAAAATAAGTACCAGAATTTGTTGAATAAATGAACAAACACTATTAGGCTGCCATAAAATATTTCTGAAACATTTTGGCATAGAAAATGCCTACAATATGATATTCACAGGAAGAAAACAAAACTCACATTTGTGTTATTTTAGCTACTATGCTGAAAATGCATAGTAGCAGAAAAATGCATAGAAAGAAAACAAATTGAAAGAAAAAATCCCATAATATTGATTCTGTCTGGGTGCTAAAATATAAATAGTATTACTTTCTTCTTTCTATTTTTCTATATTGAAAAAATTTTAAGTATATATGTATTATTTATATAATAAAGTGATACATTAAACCTACAAGAAGAAGAATGAAAGGAAAAACAAAGAAGTGCAGAGGATATTGCAGGAGGTGACACTGGCCAGCCATTGCAGAGCAGAGTGACGGGCTAGGAGAGGTGCAGATCGTTCTGTGTTTAAGATTTGTGAACAGGTGAAAACAGTGACATGGTCAGTGCCGGCCTGTAGGAAGAGCTCTCCGACAAACTGGCCCGCAGGCGGCGCCCAGCCCACTGTTCTTGAATATTAAACTATATTGGCACACAGCCGCACCATCCACTCACATCTTCCCTATGGCTGCTTCTATGCTAAGTAGTTACAACACAGACTATCATAGCCCAGAAAGCCTAAAACATTGACTATCTGGCCTCTTACAGATAATGTTTCTGAATCCTGGCCTCCAGGATGTACTACAGGAGGGAGAAACTACAAGAAGTGGTTATAGGGCCATCATTTTAAAGGTGCCATGAAGGTGACAGTTAAAGATAGATAAGTCTTGATAAATGTCAGATGGAGTAACAGAAAAAGGGTGAGGCATTCATATTTTAGACAGTTGCCACATTTTATATGATAACTATTTAAAAGTGCAGCAGGGAAAAGCGGTCATTGTCGGATGGGTTACCTGAAGGATCAGAATTGTAGAGACTTGCAGCTGTTGCCATGGGTCCTGGCGGGTGGATAGCGCTTGCTGAAGACCTCTGACTGGCGATCAGGATCCTGCTCTTTGCAGAAGGTAAACGGGACATCGCGCCCAATCCCAACTGGGGCTTAAGGAGCATGGCGGAGCGGTAGAAGGTGGGAGGAACTTCGTAGTGTGCATAGGGAGGAGAACAAAATTCTTCTTTTCCAGGGAGTTCCGTAACCTATAGCAAATGAACAGAAGCTCAATCAAAGAACTCACATCGCAGGATGAGGACTGCACCTGCTCAGGACACCCAGCTCCAGCAATAACCACCTGGCATCTCTGAGTTGCTCCATCCCTGATCACTTACCTTCTTGGGGCACAAGTGTCTTCATTGCTGAGTTGACAACACACCTGGATGACCTCTCGGGTCCCCTCCAGTTCTAATATCTATAAATCTACATCTCACTGGGAGAAAAAAGAACTTATTTGGTAAGATTTTTTAATTTGATTGTTACAAAATCATCAGAATTTGTGCAAGGAGCCAATCTATAAGTAAATAATGTTAATGAAGCATGGAAAGAATTTGCAAGTGTTCATAGAATTATGAGTTTCATTATTCCTAAGGAGAAAAGGCACAATTTTTATGGTAACATAGTCTAATAATAAAAAAAATGAACTTTATCAATTTATGTTGTCTTTTCTAGGCTACTTATGAAATAAAACATGCACTGTTAATGAGGGAGAAAAGGCTATTGGAAAGAATATAAATGTTAATGGAAAAAATGTGTTTTCAGGCCTCCATAATCTATTTACGTCATTGAAAATGAGAGACTGATTTACCTCCTCTTATTGTCCTCCCTGCTAAGGGAGGGCTGACAGGAATGTCTGGGAAAGATTCACCAGAATGGAAGTTCTAGGAGAGAGTCTGTTGGCTGCTGAATCACTGACCTAGAACCGTGTCTGTACATGGCCAAAATCAGTAAGCATCCAGCAAACAAACAAAACAGGTTTCTATTGTTTCCCAAATTTAATAAGGTAACATTCTTGTTACTTTTTTCCAGTTAACAGTTTAGACTAGAATACAACTTATGGCTACCTTTCATGTATGCAATTCTGAACTCACAGAGACTGTTCATGTTATCAGTGTTTCTTCATATTAAAAAGGAAAAAATAAGACAGTTCAATCATCTATTTCCTCTCAGTTTAAAAAGAATAGTGCCAGAGGCCATGCATTAAAAATACATCTGTTAATTAATTCTGCTCTAAATCACAATATATTTTATGTCATACATATCCAGGAATCACAAGCATTTAACAATACTAGTATTTTTAATAGGGTCTATGAAGCTCTGAGCCAAACTGTTGGAAGAGATAAGCCCTTAAATTGATACTCTTTGAATGTTGAAATAGATACAAGTTCTCCTTAAATTGACATTATTGAAACCAAAGATTAGGCCTTTAAAGTTTTATCATAATCATATTGTAAAACATGCATGATTGCTATTGTAGATCGGCTGAACTGGGGCAACAGCAAATTACATTCCTTCAAAAGAACATTATACCTTTGCGCTCTGATAAAAATGTTTACTATTCTCCACTTAATTCTCTTACTATTGATCTTTCACTTTTATATTATACTCATATTTTCTCTGTTCTTTTATTTTTGTTTCTAAATTTTGATGCACTGCACATTTCTTTTAGCAGGTGCTCACATGAGGAAATTATAATCATTTCTAACCTATATCTGTCAAGTTTTTAGGATTGCAATATGCTGAGCTCAGTAATTACTCAGTTTGAAACTGCATAGTTTTTAGGGCTCAAAACCCACCTGGAAAATGGTCATCACGATTTCAGTAACTTCAATGCCTGTAATTTTGTTGGGTAATTTGTCACTGGTAAGATAACAAATTGTTTACACAGGTGAGAAATATGCCTCAGATGCCTAATCAGTGCATCTATAATAATAAAAGGTTAATATGCTAATTAGACCAAATGTTATTCCGGACGTCCTTCCTGATGAATCCGGGGCCCGAGAGAAGCCAGCCCAGGTCCCGGGTGCCTGCGGGCTGCCCAAGAGAAGCCAGCCTGGGTGCCGGGTGCCTGTGGGCAGCCCAAGGGAAGCCAGCCTGGGTCCTGGGTGCCTACAGGCGGCCAGAGGAGGGAAGCCCAGGTTCCGGGTGCCAGAGGAAAGCTGGTGCCAGCAGCCGGGGGAAGGAAGGCCTACTCTTGCACAAATTTTAGTGCATCAGGCCTCTAGTCCTATATAATAAAAGCCTAAATGCAAATTGACCAAACAGCAGAATGACCGGTAGAACTACAGGTCGCTATCACATGCACTGACCACCAGGGGACAGATGCTCAATGCAGCAGCTGCCTCCAGCCCACAGCCCCCAGGCCAGCCAAGACAGGTGCCAGCAGGGGTCCCCCAATCAGCCCACTGGTCGCCCCACAAATCGGCCCTGATTGCTAGCCAGGCCTAGGAACCCTACCCGTGCACGAATTTCATGCACTGGGCCTCTAGTTTTTAATAAAACAGGGGAATCTACAAACAACTTCACACTCCTTGTATCTTTCATCTTTATTGACAGAACACAACAGGGATCACTGCACAGAGAAAAACACATAAAGACCCACCCAAAATGTTATTTTTCCTCCTTCTCTAGTGGAGTTTTTTTCCCCAGTTAGCAATAACCATGCCTGGGATAAACTTCATTGGCTATAATACTGCCACTGCACAAAGCTCCAATTGAGTATTTTTAGAGAAATTATTTTGAAAACAAACTAAAGTATGCTCATGATTTCATTCAAATTCCTAAAATCCATCAAAGCACACAAACAAATCAGTTCTTACCGGATTGGCCCTCTTTGTGATTGCCCTGTGCTGTTTTCGGTGGGATCCTGGGCTGGGAAGCCATGGGTAAATGTGGAGGCTTCACTGAGAAGCCATTGGGACAGCCCAGGGAGAGGACTTGTGATGTCTCATTGTGTCAACTAACCTGGGCCACCGTACCCAGATATTTGGTCAAAGACTATTCTAGATATTTCTGTGAAGGTATTTTTGATGAGGGAAGGGAGTAGAGGAAGAAGTGGGTCCTAATACATGGTGACAGGAGAAGATTTGACTTTGGGGGTGGGCACACAGTGCAATATACAGATCTTGTAACATATACACCCACACCTGAAACCTGTATGGTCATGTTGACCAATGTCACCCAATAAATTTAATTAAAATAAATAAAATAAATATTTCTGTGGCAACTTGTCAGAAACATATCCTGTCGTGAGCTGGGGGCACAGTGGTAGGAGGTAGCCCTCGGATCTCCCTGCGCCAAGCCTGACGAGAGGACTGAGACTTGCTGAGCTTCACAGAGATAGGAGCAAAGGCCAAGGGGCAGGGGGATACGTTTTTGGTAATTTAAGAAAGATTCACATTCACCAATCTAAGAGCCTGACCTATAAACCAGAGTGGCCATTGTTAGTGAGATGGCACTGCCTAGGGTTAGACTCTAAGTTCCTCTGGCCAGGGCATGCTTTCACTGCACTTAGAACAGGACACCATGCAGCCCTGCATAGGGGCTGAGTCCCTATCATAGAGACTAGACCCCCCTAAACTCTCGGGTCAGCACCCTCTCTCTATATGTGTGAGGGGGGAGCCTCTCCAGGCGCAGAGTCAGAAGACGGGAAGCCAGCAGCGTGATTCGGTGCTGACAGCTGGCACCATGGCAGGCAGATGGCCAGCTTGCTGGGGCACCAGGTCAGTGCTAGCCTTGGTGGAGATGTGCTGCTAAGAATGGACTGACCACTTGCTTTGTGCCAGAGATGACACCTGCTATGATCAATAAAGTCTGTAAAACTGTTGATACAATCAATCAAGTTAGAGTCCAACCTGGGACTGGATTATTCTATCTCTAGGGAGCTTTGGTTAACTTCTGTTTGTATCCATCATATGTGAATTCATAAATCAGTTATCACTCAACATTTATGAGCATGTGTTTATGCCAAGCACTGAACTCTGGGGTCACTGTGGGGAACAAAAGACAGAGAAAGTCTCTTCTCTCATGGACTTCACATTCTAGTTAATGCAGCAAAAGCAAAAAAGGTATATAGGAGAGATAACTTCTAATAAGAAAGAACCTATAGAAAGGGGTCTGGGGAAAGGCAGCCTTCCCAATGAAATGACATCTGAAGGGACCTAAAGAAAGTGAAGGAGATAGTCATTCAGGTATCTGGGAGGAACATTCCAAATAGAGGGCAATGCAAAAGGCCTGGGGCAGCAGAGGGAGAGAGGAAGTCTGGAGGAAGGAGAGGCAGTCAGGAGGTAATGAACCTCCTACAGACTCCAGCCTGTGGTCTGAGTGGCCTGGGCAGACCTGAAGGGTGTTAGGGAGACAAATGATCTGAGCCAGCTTTCCTTTTAATTGATCACTCTGCCTGCCAGGACATTGCTTCTGGAGGCCAATCTTCTTCATGAGCTCTGGGAGGATGACTCACCTAGCACCCAGTTACTTAAAGGGGCAGCACCCAGAGGAAAGGGTGAGGGCCTAGGAGAGCATCTCAGTGCTGCCCTTGTTCTGTGGCCTTAGGTGAGTTACGCATACCTCTCCACATCTGTGTCCTCATCTATACAATGATTAAACCAGCAATCCCAATCTCCAGAGAGTTACAGTAAGGACTGTTGAAGACTGACAAAGATTAATATATTACATGGCATAGCAGGTGCTCAACTAAATGTTAGGTAATGATTATTTTGACCCACGCCTATTTTCTACTCACTGTGTTCTTCACTTGTGTGAATATGAGATATCTCCCTCAGAGGATGAAGTCTGACCAATTTGAACAATGTATTTATTTCTGACTTTTTTTTTCTACTGACCTGGCTTATAGATGAATTAGGCTCATTTATTTAAACACAGAAGACAATTTAAATGCATGCTCATCTAACTTCATGTGTATCCTATTGTGTGGAATTTATGTGAGTCTCCTCAGATGGTAGATCCATCTCATTATGATCATCAACCTTCTCCAGTCAAAAATGTCCATTTGTCTACAACCTCCTCTATTAAAAGCATTATTTCTGTACAGGAGTATCCAAAGGAGACTTTCCAAAGGGAGAATATTCTGTTTTCACAATTGAAAATATGTGACAAAGTTTAGGTGTTCAACTTATAAACCATATCACAATGATATTCTCTTACCTCCTGCAAAAACTTTTCACTAATCTGACTGAAATGGTGTCCTGGGGGTTTGATCCCAGATACCATCAACCCAGGACTGAAGACCCTCGGCTTCTGCAAGTCTGGCTTGAACTTCTCGTAGAGGCTGGCAGCCGGCTTCAGGTCTCTGCCTGCCACCTTCTCCTCTTTGGGGAGAGGCGTGTTACATGTGGGCGGAGCATAAGGAAGGCCCACTGGGACCAGCGAAGTGTCCACCTGGCCGAGAGCCTGCGGACTCCTCCTGATGTAGGTGATGATCTTGGGCCTCACGTGCTTGGGCTTGGGCAAAATGATGGGCTTGGGTTCTGTCCTTTCTGCTGTTCTTTCAACCTGGTGGCTCTCCAGTGCCTCCTGTGAGGAAGGTGTACCCTCAGAATGTGTGGAGATTGGCTTGGGGATCCCACTGGGGCAGGTGTTCTTGTCAGGCACTTTGGGGGAGGTGTTCAACAACTGCAAGCTGTCAGTGGGAGGTGGGGCAGCCGAGAGTGACCCCGAGGGTGACCCTGCGTCCACACTCAACATACTCAAGTCCTGAAGACTGGCGCTGGGCTGGGGGGTCACACTGACAGTTGACTCTGGGAGGAGAGGGGTTGGGACACTGAGAGGAGAATCCGTTCTTGCTGTGGAACTTTCAGTCTTAACTGCATTTTCTAGAAGGTTCTTATTTTCAGCAACAGATGTAGTGACCTCTTTGCTTTCCCCAGCTTCTGAGCTGCTGCTCTGAGGGTCAAGGGGCTCAGGGACCCCAGTTTTACTCTCTCCAACAGAAGGATCTGAAGTAAAATCCATAGCACTGGCCCTGCTCCCACAGCTTAGCACCCTTTTCTCCTCGCTGGCAGCTGAGGGTCTGCTGTCAGCTGGGGCATGAGGAATAAAAGCTGCGTGACCATCACCTGGTGACGTGCTGCTGGATGAACTTTCATGCAGCTTCCCAGCTGCAATTGGTGAAATTTTGCCAGGGAGCTGATTATCAGCAGCTCGCAAGGAAGCAGGGCCAGGTTTGGGGAAGGTCTGGAGAGAGCCTTGCTCACCCAGGGGGACGGCGCTCTGGTCCTGCACATTTCTGCCTCTTGGCCCTCCAGGCGTGTGGACACTGCTCTGGGGCGGGGGCAGGCTGCTGACCGCCCTGGTGGGGGCTTCTTGCTGTGCTTCCCCGCCAGGCAAATTTCTCTCTTGGAGTAAGACGCTGTCTTCCTTGGGACACCCCAGACACTCGGCCCGGGCTGACAGGAACTCCTGCAGGGCCCAGGGTTGGACACATTTCAGCTCTGGCTTGGGCTCTCCCTTTTCCTGATCTAATTGTGCTTCTGGCTTACTCAGGACTTCCTTGGGTGCTGAAGTCAGAGCACACTCTGAATGGGCAGAACGTGGTGTGCTCTCATTGCTAACTTCTGGCACATGTGCTCCTTCCATCGGGGGCTCTAAGCAGGTGGTCTCCTTGGTTTCTGAGGTAGATGGTTTAGGATGACACACACTCTTTCCCTCTGAGGTGATGTCAGCTGGAGGACAAGCTGTCCCTGGGGAGTGGGATGTCACTGTCTTCTGTGGCCCCTCACCACCTTTGGGCATGCCATCCGGGGCATCAGGGGGGTCCAGTGGGACAGGCTGTGGAGGTGGCTGAGTCAGGCTCCCGGCACACTCCTTCATAAACTGGTCCCCTGCAGCAGCAGGGCTGCTCGCCCTATCCAAAGCGTGCCTTCTCAGTGCCGCGTCGTTCAGCGTCTTTGCCAGTTGATCGTTGGGAGCATGTCGGGGAGCTTCGGTGCCCCTTGGAGTCAAAACGTCTGGACTGGTCTCACCCGTAACAGACCTCCAGCCTGCCAGACTTGGTCCCTGTCCACTCCACGCGGGCTGCAGGAGAGCTGTGCCTCTCTGCATTGTGTGCTCTTTGTTTATTTCCCTATGAACAGTCGAAGACAATTTTAAATCCTTCAGGCTGCTGGGCCCAGCCTGCAATCCCTTCCCAAAGCGCTGAAGTGAGTGAAATTCGTTATGGAAATGGCTTCTGTTTTCTGGCTCATGTGAATTTGCATTTCCAATTTCATCTGTCAGGTCACATGTCTGAGACTCATCACGAGAGGGACCGCCCTCCACCATGATCTGATTGGCATTAGAATCACCCAGACTTAGGAGACTCTCATTATTATTTTTCACCCCCTTTCTGTTGTCCTGCAATTGAGTGTAATATGATTTCTTGGGAGCCAATGGGACACTCATCTTCCACCTTCAGTGGGGGCTGCTCGCCATGCAGCCCTCCTGGACGGAGAGGGGCTTCCTCCAAGCTGCTGCGGGATTAAGAGGAAATTCTGAAGCTGCTCGTCGCCCCCTGACAATGTTACATTGAGACACTGCTTTTAATCATTTCCAGAGCGATTTTAAAACCGAACCTTGTCTTGATATGTGGCTGGATGACTTATCTGTTAGGGGCCTGCTGAACAAGAGTCAATTAATCCATGAGACCTAGAGAGAAATAAAAATAAAGCCTTGTTAAATTGACACAGAGATTCTCAAGAGAAAAAGGCATGGTAAGCACAGATTTGTTCATCACTTTCATAGTATTATTTCATTCATTCAACCCATAGATTTCTAAAAAACCTTTCAGAGAAGGGCTCCTGCTGACCAAGTAGGGAGAAATTGAAACTTCAGAATAATTAATGTTAGAAATGGATGGTGAACGCCTATTAAATCTTAAATTCAGATTTTAAAAATCCACAAGTCCATACTGATAGTGATTAAAAGGGTGGAGGAGAAAAAAAGGCTCTTCTTCACAGAAGACTGCCAACTAATACAGGGATACTATGCAGTTAGGAAATCACCATTTTTCAACCACCAGAGTCATCATTATCTTGAGCGAGGGACACAGCAGTGCTCCTGGGTGACAGATTGTTGGGAAACAGAATATTTACAGAATCTCAAGGTACCATCCTCCAGATTACTTTATTTCTTACAAAAGAAAAATTTTATCTTTACAATTGAGACAAATGGTGGACATCTCCCTAATTAAATGATCAAATTTATCATCATCAATAATGGAAACTATCAGTGTTCCTGAGGTTAGGTAGTTCTCAGTGCTTCATATCACCCAGTAGTATTCTTGCTATAAATGTTCAACCTGAATTTCATCAGGAGGAAATAATCAAATTTAAATTGACGGACATTTTACAAAATAACTGGCCTAACCTTGGCCCCAAATGCCAATAGATATCTAAACACAGTGCATGATCCTTGACTGGACCTTGGGTTTTTAAAAAAGTTAGCAAAGTATTGGGACAATTAGAAATTTAAACATGGACTGTATATTAGGTAAAGGCGTTTGATCAGTATTAGCTTTCTTGGTTATATAACAGTATTGTGATCATATCAGAGATAATCTTTGGTTTTGGAAGTTACATGTTTTTAAACACGATATACTTCTTAATATGACATACTGTCCTTAACTTACTCTCAAATGGTTCAGCAAAGAGAAAAATATGTGTGCACATTTGTGTGTAAAAGAGAGAGAGAGTGTGTGCAACTATAGCAAAAAGGTAATTTGAAAATCTAGGCGATCCACTCTACTATACCCGCAACTTTTGTATAGGTTTGAACATTTTTGAAATAAAGTTAGAGGATTCTATTCCAACTTGCAAGGTCTGCATGATCCAGTCCTTACACCCCTTTCTGGCCTCCTCCCCACTCATCACCCTCTTATTCTCTAGGCGACAGCCACACTGTTCTTATTCTTCATGCCATGTTCCTTCCTCCTTGCTTCAGGGCCTTTGCACATACTCTCCCATGTAAATGGGATGTGGAATCTTCCCCAACCTCACCCAAGTAACTTGTTTGTATTCTTCAGTTTGCAGTATAAATACCACTTCCTCCAGGAAGCCTTCCTGATCCACAAGAATAGATTAGGTACTTCTACGATGAATTTTCATAATATATTTTATTTTTATTTTTTTAAAAAACTTCATCGGTAGAAGACACTGAAGAAAATATGTTTGCACTCAGCACATATATCAGGCACTTAATATGAATGAACAAATGACTGAATGAGTTATAAAGATCAATGTTATTTCTGTCCTCATAGAGCTTAAAATCCAACACAGTATTTAAATTTCTATCAAAGTGAATACACAGATCATCAGTAAACATTGTTTACCACACTATTAATGCATTTTATTCGGCCCTGGGTGGGAGAGTTAAAAGTAACAAGGTTCTGCCTCGTCCCTAATTCCCCAAATGGGGGTTCAAAGTGAACAGTCTTCCATACCTTCCTCCTCATTCATACAAACATATGTGAGCTTGTGCTCAGACATGCACGCACACATGCACACACACACACACACACAGGTGCACACACAACACCTGGGAGGCTCTTGTGATGTTTCTACTAAAATAGGTTACATGGCAACTCACTTGTCATTGTTTAATATGCAGTTTTATATATTTAAAAGAATATGTACATGTACTATATATCTATATAAACATATATGTATATTTATTTTATAATATATATGTTATAAAACAAAAATATAATGAACAAGAAACATAAAGGATGGAAAATCACCAATAACTTGCAGCTACCTCCCTACTTAATTTTTCACTTGACAACCTACCACGGGCATCCCTAAGTGCTCAGCTGATGAAGCTCTCTTTTCTTTTCATTTCTTTTGTATCTATACATAAGCATGTACTTTCCACATAAATTTCTTGTCAGAAATCAAAAAAGGAGAGAAAACTCACATAAAATGGGAAAAATAAATTGAAATTCAATTTCTTTTTATTTGATCCTTCTTCCCCTCTCCCCAAGACATATATATATATATGTGTGTGTGTGTATGTGTGTGTATGTGTGTGTGTGTGTGTGTGTGTGTGTGTGTGTATATATATATATATATATATAAAGGGGTAATATGCTAATTGGTCCTAATGGTGTCCCAGTCATGACCGTTCAACAGGCTGTATGTGCACAGGAGTTGGTGGGTGGGGACAGGGAGGGGACTTGCACCATCAGGACATGAGGCTGCTGGCAGAGGTGCATGCAGGCCCACCGTGCCGCCCAGCCTGGAGGGGGTCCTTAGGACAGGGGCGGCCTCCTGGCAGAGGCGTGTGCAGGCCCACGGCGCTGCCCGGCCTGGAGGGGGGCATCAAGACAGGGGCGGGGCCTCAGCGGAGAGCTCTCAGCACTCCTGCACCAGGGTCTGAAGGTGCAAAGAGGAAGGGACAGCAGATGGGCAGTTAGGGGGTTTAGGCCTGGAGGGGAGAGCAGATAGGCAGTTAGGGGGATCTGAGAAGGAGGGTAGAGCAGTTAGGGCCATCAGGCAGGCAGGAGAGCAGTTAGAGGCATCAGGCAGGCAGGCAGGTGAGTGCTTAGGAGCCAGTGGTTCTGGATTGTGAGAGGGATCCCAGATTGGAGAGGGTGCATGCTGGGCTGAGGGACACCCCCCTCCCCATGCACGAATTTTGTGCACCGGGCCACTAGTATTATACTGATCTAGGCCATTGCCATGTTCACATAACCCTACACAGATATAAGCATCTGCACACGTGTGCTCTTTTGTTTCCCTGCTGTCCTGCCCTTCTGCACTCCCCACGTGCACTCATGGCCCTCATTCTCCCAACTCCCTTCATCCAGCCTTGGTTCCTTGACACAGAAGAGATTCTCAAGGAATCCCCTTCCTGTATTCAGATACTTCCCTTATTCAATTTTAAGAATGTTCTTCTTGAAGCTACATGTGTCCCTCAGGCACAAATACAAAAAGCATGCAGAAAAATCAATAAGACAGCAGTTTAAAAGAATACTGTGTTCCCTGAGTCGGAAAACAGGTGTCCCAGAAAGTCAGAGAGAGCAAGTAACTTTACAGACATGGGCCATCCACAGAAAAAGGGAATCTCTAATTCTGGGGGAAGAATCAGAAGCATGAATCTAAGAGCCCTGTTTGGTTTGAATTGTTGAGGATGGGAGAAACAAATAAATGAATTTTTGATGAGCAAAACCACAATCCACAACCAGATGCGAGACAGTGACAAATAGGTAGAAGACCAAGGTCTTGCTAGAAAGAGTTGTCAGTAAATCATAAATGATGCTCATCGCTGAGGGCATGGAAAGCTGGAATCTTCTAGGGCCAAGAACCATTCTCGCACTAAAACATAGTTGTACAATTTAATTTTTAAATCATATTTACTTAACCTTTAATTTTAATTTAAGCAACTAATGTTTTTAATGACCTCCAGACATAGGTCTTAACATTTCCTTGCACTTTTTTTCCCATTCCTGGTAAGGAAATGAAAGCAGAGAGAGGGTTACATTCCCAAGATCACACAGCTAAGAGTAAGACAGAGACAGAAAAGTAAAATCCATGCAAAAAGGGGAAGCTACAAAAAGAAAAGCTACCTGTTGGTGAAACTGTACAGAGCACAAAGGAAGAATAAAAGGAAAAGTCACCATCATAAGAATAAGAACAGAAAAGCAAAACCAGAACCCAAAGAGGGAGAGAAAGCTCTCAGGAGACAGGACAGTCAAATTCCAAACCTTCTCCAATGACAGAAGCAAAATTACATACAGAGTTGTGTTCCCTGATCTCTCCCCATCGCCTGGGCACCCCTGAGCTCCGTGGTTCCACCAGAAGATAGTCAGAGTCAACATGAACAGCAGTTTTTTTCTGGACCTGGATTTCAATCCCGGATACTCAACTAGATAAAAAATTTCCCCAATATAAACATGATCATAAAAATTCACACTCATAATACAGGAGTGTGTGAGTAAACAAAAAATGCAAATATGTAAACCAACTGTGCTCACTCCCCTCTGAGGTGCATTTTCCCAGGGTGAGGAGCGTAACTTTCATGAGCCTCACATCCGTGACTATAAAAAGTTATGAACAATGGCCTTAGAGGTAAATGGTAATTAATCTTGAAAAATATCTATTTGTTAAGTCCTAAGTCCAGAAGAAATTTAAAGATTTCTATGCTCATGGACTATCTGATGCTTAATAGTCTTCCAAGGAGTTCCCCTTACTGGTAGGGTGAAAGCCCCAGTGTCAGGAAATCCACCAGCTCCTAGGCACCCCCCTTCCCCCATCTCTGAGCAGGGCCACCATCAAACTAGCCAGCAGCTGGTATCGCCTCCCTAGAACAGAACAATGCAATCCTTCGTCAAAAGATGTTATGCTCCCTTCTTCCCCAAAATCTTGTTAAAGAACTCAGAGTCTCCCAACTAAGCACCCACACTAGGGTCCCTGATTGCTTTTAAGTAGGCTGCTCAG